GGTTCCCATTCAGGAATCCAACCAGAAATTGCTTTCCAGTTGCTACACCTCTCGTCAGTCATTCTGCAGTTTCTGAGCATGTACAGGCCTCACGGAGCCATCTTTAGGACGAGTCCTCTTTACACAAGTCTCCTTTTTAAGATTATCCTCCTGCCCCTGAATTCTCCAAGCCTCACGTGTTTCCCTGTACCAGCCAATACCTCCCCCCATGTGAGGTCTTGGCTATGCGAAAATCTGCCCTCGGCAAATGAGTCTACTCTTAGCAGGCCATCAAGGTAGGTAATCTTACATCCTCCAGATGTTTGGGAGTCCGAGTCACATCAGCCCCAACAAGTGCGGCAAACAGTCCAGAATGATAGAAACGGTAGCCCCAAAATCGAGACCGCACCAGACTGCCTGGCTTATAAGATTCCCCTGCAAAAAAGAATCGTTCACGAAGCCATTTTCAGAGAACCTGCTGTTCTCCTTGGCTCGCTCCCAATGGCTCCGTCCACAGGATTACGCCCTTCCTTGCCGATGTTTTTTCACCTCATGGGGAAAATGTGGCGGAGCTCTGCGTCACCACTAGAATTTCAGTGCTGAGCAGACTGCCGTGGGCACGGGGCAGGGGCTCCAGACCCACAGCCTTGCATCTCTGGGACATCACCTGCCTTCCCCCTTGCTAAAGAGAAAGGTCTTGTTTCACCGGATCCCACCGAACCACCCGGCGTTTTGTGCTTTGCCTCCCGCACACCCCCTTGACCCCTTCCGCCCGAGGCCTTTCCCCGCACGATGGCACGTGCCAATTCATGCCTTCATGCTGGGACCGGAGTCCCAAGGCTGGTTCAGAGCAGCAAGCCGGAAGCCCTGCTCCGGAGCCCCCTTCCCAGGCCCGCTTCCACGGTCTGCACCTGCAGCTCTGCGGAGCAGCAGGAACAGCGAGCGAGCGAGCGGCTCCCCTTCCGCTTGCACCTCGGCCGCACCTGCCGCGCTCGCTCCGGTGGCTGCCTTGGCAGGAAGCGCGAGGTCCCTCCTGGGGCAGACAGGTGGCCATGGAGACGCGCGAACGCTGGCAGCGCCACCTGGCCCCAAGCCCCACGCACCTGCTTCCAAGGAGCCCAGACGCACACCCGCTGCACAACAACAGCCGATCGGTCGGAGGCTAATGTAGCAGTGCTACTGATCCAGCCCTCCAGCACTGGCAGCGAGAGGCGGCTAAATAAGGCAGCCAGGAAGGAAAGCAGCTGTGAGCAGGGAGCCAAATGTTTGTGCTTAATTGCTCTGGGAAAGAAGCAAAGGTCCTAAAACTTTTTACAGTTGTGGAGCAGCAAGAGTTTTGGGAAGATGCGTCTCGGCACCCTCCTCTTGCCAAAACCTGGTTTCCCCCTAAACCAGCTCTTGAAGCAGGGATGGGGAACTCCAGCCCACGGGCCTAGCTTGGCCAGATTTTTCTCCAGCGAGGAGAAGCTCTTAGCTCTGTTCAGCTGCTGGTCTGACGTGGCTGGTCTCCATGTAAGGGAGGGGGCAGGGCCTGGGGGGGGGTCAGCTACTGAGTGCACCTCTCCTGCAGAAGCTCACTGGCTCCTTTCAGAAGAGGCAGAAATGTGAGCTGTGGATGTGGCTTCAAGGTGCTGCTGAGCGTTTCAGACCTGTTTGCCTCTGAGTTCGTGTTAATCCGTAATAATCTAATTTGGCCTGCCCACTGCATCTTCTGCCTCACCCCTAGATGGAACGCCGCCTTCCCCTAGATGTTTCCAGATCAGGATGCTGCCCCAGGGCTGAAACAACTCCCCAAAATTGTCCTAAAGGAGCAAGATGCTCACATGTTGCGACCTCACACCCAATGCCCCACCACTCAGCGCAGAAGCCGATCTCCAGACTAATGCACTCCCTTAAAATAGACATTTAAAGAAGCAACATGTTCATTTAAGCTTCGAAAATGACTGGATGCTTTGAGAGGTGTAGCAAGCAAGGCATGGTGTCTGAGGCAGGTTATAAAAATCCAGAAGGGGCTGTTTGTTTCTGCAAGCGTGCCAGTACGCAGGAAACATTTCTTGTACAACAATAGATTAGTCACAGAGGAGCCAATATTCTGGGACAAAAATAGCTCTTTCACGCATGCTTTGAGGAGAGTTTTGCCCAACTTGGGTGACCTCCAGACGTGCCGGACTACGATTCCCAGCTAGCTGGGGAATGCTGGGAGTTGAAATCCAATGCACAGAGTCGGGCAAGGCGAAGCAAGGCTATGCCAGGGAGAAGCAGCTTCTCCTTTTAACGGCCACGTTCCTGGAAAATCCTCTCTGCGTATATTCTGCTTCCCTACCACGTGCCTATGGCTGCGTTAACGCGCTTGCGAAAGGCCGCAGGAAGAGGAATGTGCTCTTCAGCTTAACGCTCTACCAGGAAAGAGTGCACGTGCCAAATTACACTGGCCCAAAAGAGAATCCCAAAAGAGGACGTGGGAAGTGGGAAATTGCCCACAGGTGAATGTTTGTATATGCCTCTGTGCGGTACACGCAAAGTGCATCCATTTCCTTTGTGGGACGACTACGTAGGATTCACCTCCGAAAGCAGATGAGAGCCAGGTTTTGAGACAGCTTTTAATTACACACACCAAAGCAGAGACACAGCCCACCGGGGATGACGGAAAACAACTACCCCGTATGAAAATAACTCTGGGGTATTTACAGGCAACTAGGGGCATGAGGAAAAAACTGCTGGTCCCTGTAAGGCACAGCATGGGAGAGGGGATGAGCGAGAAAGAGGGCAACGCTGGTTGTCTTCCTCCTCAACCCCACAAATACCACACAACTCCCTCCCCACAAAACGGTGAATGAGCCGAAGGACACGCAGGGGGAAAGTGGAACAGAACAAACCACAGAAGAAACAAGACTGACGAGACCCAGGCACACGGATGTTCTCCTTCCGAGCAAGCGTGTGCTGTCGTCGGTTAAAGACCCAGATCAGCCACTCTCCCCTCTCCCCTCCGATCCTGCCCTTGCTGCCTGTCAAACGGTAGGGCTGGTACAAAGAGCAGGTCAGGCTTGGTTACCTGCCAACGCAGGTAAGATGCACGGGAAGGGAGCTCGGTGTTGTAACGGGAGCTGGTCTCTTCCCCCACAGCACCAGGCTGGGAGGGTCGGCGCCAGCCAAGACCACTGGGTTAAGAGCACCAAAACCGGAGGGGATCGTTGGGAGGGGAGACTCAAAGTCATCGAATCACCGAACAGTAGAGTTGGAGGGGGCCCAGGAGGCCATCAGGTCCAACCCCTGCTGTTGCAGGACACCAGATTGCACCATCCCAGTCAGAGGGCTGTCCAGGTTCTTGCTGAAGCTTTTGGGCCAAGGCCTGGGGTGGCCCACTGGTCAGTCAGTGCCACACGCCCCCTCCACGAGGGCCAGGAGACGCTCAATTCCTTCTCTGAGCTGCCCCAAGCCCAGTATTGCAGCCACCTTTACATCTCCTCTTAACATCGATTAAAAACAAAGAATAAAAATCTGGTTAAGGCAGCAGAAGCACCAAAAACCTCCGTACGACAGAAGAAGAGGGAAGTCCCCCAGATGAGCAATGTCTCCACCAGTCTCTCTTGCACTCTGAAATCCCGTTTTCAGCAACCCCAGCTTGTTCCATCAGCTGCCCACTCGCTTCCCCGGGAGTTCCCCGCAGCTGCCACACCTCGCAGGAAGGGCTTCCCCAACGCAGCCCAACCATGAAAGACCCATAAATTAAAAAAGGAGAATTTAAATGGTCAAGTGTCTAAAGCTGTCTTTGCAAGGACCCAAGCGGTCTTGCTCTCCCTCGGAAGGGCCGTGGCGGCGGAGTTCACACATAGACGGCGGTCTTTGAGATGATGGAGCCGTCGTGCTGGGACTCCATGTCGTCGTACTCGTAGTCGCGTGTGGCCGAGCCGATCGGCAACATGGGGCCCAGCTGGTCAAACCGCTCCCGCTCGTCCTCCAGGTGCCGGGACGGGTAGCCGAAGGGGGAGTGCCGCTCCTCCTGCTCCTCTTCCTCGTCGCACTCATGGTCCTCCTGCCCCCTTCCCGGGGCGGCCTTGAGGGGCCGGTCGAGCTCAGTGAAGTCGCCGGGAGGGGGTGGGGCCGTCCCGTTGCCGAAGACCCGGGTCTTCGGGTCGTAGGAGCCTTTGGCGCCCCGGGAGTGGCGGCGGCAGATGATGAAGACGATGACTATGGCCCCCAGAATGGCCAGAGCCAGGATCCCGCCCACAATGGATCCGATCAGGGCTCCAGCGCTGCCGCTCTGCCTCTTCGCCGGCTGGTCTGAGTAAAGAAAGCAAGACGGGGGTCACTCCGAGGAAAGCGCAGCATCAGCATTACCAGCTCGGGGAAGGGGCAGAGCTGCAGATGGAGCCGTGAACGGACCCGGGGGCCGGGAGGGGCCCCCTCCTCAGCCTGGCGGGGTCCTTTCGCAGGGGACCCAACGGTCCCCTCGGTGTCCGCGTTGCGAGTGTCCAGAAAGCGCCTCCTCCATGCAGGCCTGCCCAGCGCAGCACGGCCCGCCAGTTCTCTTCTCCCAGCATGCTGTTCTGCCACACGCCTGGCCACTGCTCGGACCTGCAGCGCCTCTGCCTGAGCAAGCCACAGTGCCCCGTGCCCCGCAGCACTTCTGGCCTCCAGCACCTTCTGGACAGGCCTGCCGGCGACGGGAGCACCTGCTGTGCCCGCACCGTGCCCAGAAAAGGCAACCCTACGTCCGTCTCCTGCCAAGTCGGCGCCGTGTATGCAGAGCCGCCTTGCTTGCGTGTGGGGGATCGTGGGAACAGCCCTGGTGACCAGCTCTGCCTCACAAACTGAACGTGGTACCGTCCAGCACGGCCTCATCTGTGAGGCGCCGGATTCTCTCAGCGCACGCACAAGTGCGCACCGCACGCAACTAAAATGCATACCCTGCTCCCACAGAGGGAAAGCACATTTCAACCACGGGCACCTGACCCCAAAGGGACCAGGAGACGCCTCCAAAAGCCCCCTGCTGCTCCAGGCATGCGAGCCACGGTTCCTACCTCGGACAAAGACGATCTGCTCCGACCTGACCTGCCCCACGCGATTGGTGGCCTCACAGATGAAAGTGGTGTTGACTGACTGGTCCACATTGTGGACTATGAGCCGTGCGCCCTGGACTTCGACGGACTTGGGCAGTGTCCCGCTGGGCCTGGAGAGAGGGGGGTGAGAGAGGCACGGTTAGCATCTGGGACTCTCGCCTCTGCACTGCCCTTGTGAAAATTCATCAGATGCGGCGCCCGTTCTGAATTCAAAGACTTCGATTCTCCCTGCGCATAAACATTATTCTGTTCATGTGGCACAGAGTACTTAAAGATCTCTCCACCACCAAGGCAATGAGAAACAAAAACAAACAAAAGGTGGGTACCTGTGTGCAGGTAAGCGGCCAACCAGAGTTTAGAGTCTTGGGGAGAATTACAGGAAGATGCATTTCCCCTAAAATTATGCTATTTTGTCTCAGGAGCTTCACGCACATGTGTATACATGCAGTAGCGCATCCAAGAACTCTTCCCTGAGATCAGCTGAGTTCATTCATTTATTTATTTATTATTTATTATTTATTTATTAAAACATTTTTATGCCGCCCCATTCGCCGAAGCCTCGGGGCGGCTTACAACAAAAATGCCTACAGTCGGTTTCTCTCAGAGGGCACCTCTCTTCCGCATGGCCTGGCCACACGCCATGCTGTCTGTATGGACTAGAAACTGCCAGGCCAGACCGATTCGGCGCTTGAAAGCCTCTGGCTGCCACCCTTCCCCGTCCAGCCTCGCCGCACTCCCTCCGGGATCCAAGGTGCCTCGCAGAAGGGCACGCCGTGCTCCATGGCCCTGCTTTCTCTCACCCAGCCCTTCCTCTGCCTCCAGCTAGAGTCAACAGAAGAAGAAAGGAGGTTTTTGGGTGCCAAGCCGGCAGAACTGGCTTGTCCTCATTCTACCCTGGAAGGATCAGCCGTCTTCCCCTGGCGAGGGAAGAGAGGTTTTAAAACGCCCTGCTTAAGAGGAAGCAGCGGAAGCACCCTCCCTTACGGCCCTTTGGAGCAGCCCTGTGCAACGCTCGGCTGGAGCGGAATGCACGCCCCGAACCGCATGGCCCATGTGTGGGAAGGCCATGCCGTTTCCCCATGTGGCGGTCCCAGGCGGGCGCTGCTCACACAAGATTCCCCAAGCCCGACAGGACGACTGCTCATGAATGCCTTGTTGCATTTGAAGATCTGCAAGGTTCCGAGGCCGGGTTTCAATTGTGATGAAGTCCAGGCAACTGCCTTCACGGGGGACCGTGAGGTCCAAGATGGCCTTTGGGAACAAGTGGCATAAGCGCTCGAGACCACACCGTGCGTCACCAAAGAGGGCATGGAGGCCGAGCGCAAAATCTGCTTGGCCAGACTCTTTGAAAGTTATTCAAAGAATAAGCGAGAGCAAGTGAGGCGTCGAGGTGAGCGGCATATAAATGCAGAGTATTTTCATGTCAGGAATTGGCTGAGCATGGGAACATTATTGGGTGGATTTGAGATGAAATCAATAAATGCACGCACACACGTCCACCGTGCACCTGGCAGAAACCAAATTTGGAACGCCCTCTGTGAAAGCGGAAAGGCACAGACTGTGCTGAGTTCCAGCTGTCCTGCTCCGTGTGGATGCTTTGGTAGGTTGGAGAGCTGAGCGGAGCGGTAGGATAGCGCTGCCCAAACTCCTGTCCCCTAGTTATGCTGGACTTCCAACTTTGTGACTCCCAGCAAGCAGGTGAGTTGTGATACAGCACGGCTGAAGGGCAGCAAAGCAGGGAAACGGGGGGGGGGGGGACGACGACTCACGTGGTCCATGTGAACTGCGTGGGTGTGGGGTTCCCTTTGGCGAGGCAGGTGAGCGAAGCCTCGTTGCGACTCAGGTACCAGTTGTCGTCGTAGCCCTGGATGGTGACCTCGGGGGGATCTGTCGAAAAAGCAGCAAGGGCAAAGCTCATTCGGTTGCAGGGATCGCGCAGAGGCAAGCGCTCGGGTTCCGCCCGCCGGGGCCTGGATCCTCCCAAAATGCGTGTCACCCAAGCCTGACTTCTCCCTGCTCCAAACATCAGCTCTACCAGACCACCACTCAAAAGCCCGGAGCAGGGGTCTCAGCGTGGGAGAATCCGCATCTTGAAGAAGGAACCCTTCCTTGGACCGCCCCACTCTGCTCACGCAGCCTGCAGCACTGGCCAAGGGAAGGGCCTGTTCTATACTGGCTCCCCCCCACCCCAATTGCAGAATAACTTGCCATTGGAGAGTCCTCAGGCACCTACCTGATTGAGTTTGAGGCGCCTGGAGGAAACTTTTCTTCTAAGGCACTACTTAAGCTATGTATATTAATGGCATCGGTTTGCATTTTAATCTCATTTATGAATTTACATTTGGCCTGGTTGTATATATTGTGCATAGTCTTGCTTATTATAACATGTTAACTGTATTGTTTTATTAATGCTATTATTGATATTTTTATTGTAATGGCCACCCAGAGAGCACAATGCTAATGGGGAGCTTTTATACAAATGTAACACATAAATAAATCAACAAATAATAAAGGGAAATTGTAAGCTCGTCTTCCCCCACAGCGCTGCCCTCCAAGTGTTTGGACTACACCTCTCAGCTTGCCTGACCATTGGCCGCGCTGGCTGGGGTTGATGGGAGGTGTAGTCTCACATGTTTACAGGGTAGGAGGCCGGAGAAAGCTACGACTCTCCTTCCTGGATGCACAGCTATTATATCTATAAATTAAAGCAGTGAGGGGGGAACACGCCGCAGCCCAAGGCGAGGTTCGCGTCTGCTTTCAGGAGCGACGCTGCAGAGGCGGGTGGGGATGGAAGCGAAAGGAGCGCAGCCAGACGTGCAAACCAGTCAGTGGACTGTCGTCCGAAGCTCTGACTGCCACAGACGGAGCCTCCGAGGGGGCATGTCGGCCACCCAGGATGGGGGGACGATGCACAAGGGCCGGGAAGCCACCAAATGGGCCGTGCTTGGGGGAATGGGGGGAGGCATGGGGGGTGGGCGCAGCGCTCTGCGGAACCCCCAGGAAGCCCAGGCATAAGGCAGCCCTCCCTAGATTAAAGAGTGCCACCCTCTGGAACTAAATGAGGGGGCGGAGAAGAAAAGCCAGGGCGGTGTGATGGTTCCTGCGCTGGACTGGGGCTGAGGTGAGCCGAGTTCTAGTCCCCGCTCAGCCATGAAACATAGACCCATAGAAACAGAGCGAGTCGGAAGGGGCCTCCCGGGCCACCTAGTCTGACCCCTGGCCAGCCCCTTCCTCTCCGCTTATCCTACCTCACAGGGTTGTTGTGAACATCAAATGGGGAGGAGGAAGATTATAGAAGCTGCCCGGGGATCCTCCCACACGGAAAGAATGTGGGATGCAAACCTAGCAAGGAATCAGACGCACGAGCACTGTGCTTGCGGCGTTTTCTTCCCAGTTCCGGGACCCAGGCTGCCCAGTCCCCAGCGCCCAGCCAGCCACTCACACAAGATGGACAGCACCACCGGGAGAACCTCTGGCTGCGCCAGCGTCTTCTGCTCGACCACGCAGGCGATGCGCTGTCCGTTGGCCTCCTTGCTGGGCACCATGCTGTAGCGGCTCGTGACTGTGACGGTGCTGTCCGCGTTCACCACTTGCGAGACGCTGGCGTTGCCGGCCAGCCCCGACTGCCACGTGATGCGGGCCGGCGGCTTCCCATTACTGGACGTGCACAGGGCCACGGGCACCTCGATCTTGCTGGCTTTCACCTCCTCGGCTGTGGCCCTGTTGACTGGCTTGGCTGGAAGAGGGAGGGAGGGGAGTGAGACGCCAGATCAGGCGCCGTGCCGCGCAACTTCAGGCCGCAGGTGCCGGGGCGGTGGGAGAGCAGGCCCAGTTCTGGCTGCAGGAGCATCTCTGGCACGTCCATCGCCCCAAGGAGGACCCTTCCGGCCAAAAGGGGCGGAGAGATCCCACTTCTGCGCAAGAGGCCGTGTGACACAGCGGCAGGAGTACGTTGCTGTGGGACTGGGGGGGGGGGGTCGGGGCGCTAGTCTGCCTCCAGCCATGAAGCTCGCGGGGTGACCCTGGCCCAGTCATGGTCCTACCTTACAGGGTTCTTGTGACCCTGTCCTACTTCTCAGGGTTGTTCTGCGGATCAACTTTGTCCTTTGTAAGCCGTCCAGAGACTTTTTAGTAATGGGACGGCATAGAAAAACGTCACATAAAGACAGGTACATAAATAAATAAAATGGGAGGGGGGAAGGGAGCCGCCTTTTGTTCTTTGGGAGAAGCCCCGCCACCCCGCCCAGAAAAGCTGGGATAATAAATGGGGGGAATGACTCCCTGCATGCCGCAGGCTAGGATTAACCCCCCCACCCTTCTGGCAGCTGCGCAAGTTTAATAACTGAGGAGCATTTTAATATGCGCACACCCAAACCCCTCGGAGCTCAAGGTGGCTCAGCCAAGGGAAGGCTCTGCTGATTCTATAAACGGGCGAGCGAAAGGAATCTCAGGCAGGTAGCTCTGATGTGCGCCAAAGCCGCATCGCTGGCAAAACGAATCGCTGTTCAGAGGGGGCTGCACGCAGGAGCGAGCGATGGACCAGAAAAGTGTCTTTTGCCCGCAACTCGAATGGCGAGAGGTCTGTCGCAAGGCGGCAGCAAACCTATCCATGCTGGAGAACGGGGTTTTTAGAAAAGACCCTGCAGCGGAGCGTGGACTAGCACGGGGGTGGCCCCATCCTGATCCTTCAGCCTTGGCATGGTTCAAAACGTTAGTCCTTCACATGCTGCACAGATTGCACTTTCGGTTGCTGCTTCTGGGAAAATGGTTTGAAAAGGTTCTTGAAAATTCCCTTACTGTTTCGGGGGGGGGGGGTTGGGGATTTCCGCAGGGCCGGCCCATGTGCCACAGCAACATTCTCAGGTTGATGCTATGCGAGGCAACCAAAGCAGCTCTTCTCTATCTTGGCAGGCAACATGCTGTCATCGTGGGCCTCATGTGATTCAAGTTTCCACATAAGTGAAACGGCAGTGGGGAGCAGAGGACAAGAGCGTGGGAAAATTTACAGAGAAATTTCCAAGATTTGCAATGTAATCATAAGGGTAGAAACTTAGCTTCCCACTAAAAACAGATTCAGGATGTGCTATTCTGATCTGGGTAGAATACACACCACTCTAGCCTTAAACCATTAGCAGAGCTATCTATTTATTAGCAGAACTATTTATTAACTAGTAACTATATGGACTCTGTGAATACGTATTTTTGAGTTTCACTGCCTCTTACATATAAAATTCTGCAAAATGACTGGCAGAATTTAGTCTGCTTTTACTTATCAGGGGAAAGACAAGAAGCAGGCCTTCGAGGCCCATCTCACAACCACGGGAAAACCTTAATCAGTGCCTGTGTGGCTTCTGAAATTTCAGCAAGTATCTATCCCACACACGTCCACACTGATCTTTGCATTACAATGTTTCTTTAAAATGAAATTCCCGAGCTCCAGAGTATCACAGAAAGCTTATCACCCTTGTTTGTAAAAGCACTCCAATATGCTGTGGATGAGCCTTTAACCCCTACAGAAAAGGTCACTGGAAAAAGTCTAATGAGAGCGACCTCAACAGAGGAGGGAAAATCCCCGTCCCTAGAGGTTCTTCTGCGATCGAATTAAAAATAGAAGTGAGAATCCTAAATGACAGCCGGGCGACCTTATTGCTGAGCCATGCAAGAGAGCTCCCATAATTTGAACATGAAGCACTGCCGGGCCGGGACTCGCTCGCCCAAAGCCTTTTCGGGTTTGTTTGCTTTCTGCTCCAAAACTGCCTGTTAGGTAAGAGCGGCGTATTGCTATTATTACGCTCTCTGCTTGCAGAACCTTGCAACGAATCAGCCATAATTAATTCAAGGCATTACCTTGCAGCGCTGCGATGCAGGAGTGAGGGAAAGCATTTAAAAGGCTTGGTTCAGATGCCCCCAAGGAAGCAATTTAAAAATGAACAGATCCCCTCCCATCCGAATGCAGCCAGATGCAGGCAGTCTGCGTCTCCAAAAATAAACTGGCGGAGCGAGCCAGAGCCACAATCCGCCTTCTGTGCTCTGAACTACATGAGCAGGATCCATGTGGCCACGATCCACATCCGTTCACTGTGCCTCCTAGAACATACTTCCCTAGAAGGGTCGACAGTGTAACAGCCTGAACAATGTGTCCCAGCCAGGGCCCTCCAGGAGTGTTTGACTACAACTCCCATCATTCTGGGGTGCCAGTGGCTCTGTTGGCTAGGAGTGGTAAGTGTTGTGGTCAGACTCTTCCAAAGGCCCCCAGTCCAGGCTGGGCTTGGGACGCCAAAACAGGGTGAGGGCGAGGTTTAGAGCCTTGAAGCTCATTGGCTGGGTCCATAAGCCTGGTCTACCTCGCAGGGCTCGTGTGGAGGAAGAGGAAACAGAAGCGAGTATGCCCGGTCTTCAAAGCCTTGAACCCCTGAAGGATGCAAATATTTTCATGGAGGACAGAGTGCAGCAACTAACCAAGCCAGAATCACAGAATCATTCGCAACGCACAAAAGCCGTCTTGCTTTTGCATCAGAAAAATCCGGAGTAGTTTCTAATAGGGTTAACAAAGATAGGCCATAAAAGAATCCTAGAACAGGCACAATCTTCTCCCAGAGTAACCCCTTCACAAAATCTACAGTTGAACTGTGGAACTCACTTCCGCAAGATGTATGGACAGCCACCGATTTGGATGGCTTTAAAAGGGGCTGGAGAAATTCATGGAGGAGGCGGCTAACACAGGGCTACACATCCTGATGGCTACACGCCACCTCTAGGGTCAGACTGTCTATATGTACCGGTTGCTGGGGATCATGGGTGAGAAGGTGCTGTTGCCCTCATCTGCTTGGGGACTTCCTGGGGGAAGCTGCTTGGGATGAGATGGACTTGGTCCGACCCAGTACGGCTGTTCTTGCCAGCACTGATACCCAAGCCAGGCCTTATACCAGAGTAGACAGCATGTTCTTACCCACTATTATCAGTTCCGTGAAGCCGTCCTCGTTGCCCAAAGGGTAGGTGGCAAACTCGCAGGTGTAGGTGCCCTTGTCGCTCATGAGCAGGGGGTCAATGATCAAGGTGGCGTCCTCCAGGGATGGAGTGCGGAAGCGAATCCGCGTACTGTCTCTCTCCATGGGGTAGCTGGGGCCATGATCCGGGTGGAACACCGCCACGTTCTGTTTCCTGCCGCCGGTCTCCTTCACCCAGGTGACTTGGCTAACCTTCGTTTCGGGGCTGTTTGCGACAAAGTTGCATGGCAGGATGACCTCCTTCCCCAGGTAGCCGGTGACCTCATTGCGGACATTCACCCTCTGGGCATGCGCGACTGGAAGAAGGAAATGTTGAACACACTGAGAACCTGGGCTTTTGCAGGGGGGTTAACAGTATCAGCTCACCTTTGCCGGCCACGGCTCCCCAAACCGTGGGTTGCTCGGGAACGCACGGAGCAACTGAGCATGCTGGCTCCCGAAGCCCCGCCTACTTCTGGTGCACTAAACAACCCTGGGATGCTCCTCATCATTAACACCTCCAGCGTTGTAAAGCCACGGGCACGCAAGGGCTTTTCCTACTGCTCTCGCCGTGCAGGCAGGCCGATCTGGTGAAGGCCGTCCTGCCAGCAGTGTGGCCCAAAAGAGCCCTTTGAACAGGGCTCAGAGTAACGCTGGTGACTGATGCAGCTGGCCCAGTGCAGGCGCCATGCGATCAGCCTGCTGTGCTCCTCCAGCCCTTCTGCAGCTGCCCCCTGCGCCAGCGGACCCCCCGTGCCGTCCTCAGAAGGAGTCCCATCGCGGCTGCCTGGCCTGTGCATCGCCAGGGCACGGAGACCAAGGCGAGGCCCCCCTTCTCCAGGCAGGGCGGCGCTGGCAGGCCAGCCTGCGCTGGCCAAAGGCCCCCCGGATGCTGCGGCCACCTGGCTTTCCCCAGCGAGCCCAGAGCCCAGGAGGACCCCCGGCGATGCCCTCGACCCTTCAGAGGGTGCCCAATTGCATCCAAGACCAATCAGACACCTCGATCCGGAATGGCTGCTTTCCCAGCACACAGGATGCCTTCGCGCATTCCCTCATCCACCCCAGAGCAGCCTCCATAGCTCAATGAACACTCCGGGAAGCACAGATGGGAACGAGATGCGTCATCCACACACTGGTGACACGTCAGCCCAAAGCTCCTGATGAGTTTCCCCCCAGTGCTTTCATGCGAGAGCCCTTCTAAAGCATGGGGCCATGATGGCGACCTGTGGCATCCCACAAGCTCACTCCCATGGGAGGGATCTAGTCTCCCCAGCCCACCTTCTGGGGCTGGTCCTCTAGAAAGAAGCAGTGCCACTTCAAACCGTTCCTCCCCGTCCCAATCTGGGTGGATGATCCATGGCTACAGAAGCTGAAAGCTGCTCAGAGCTCCACAAACCCACACCCCATCCATTCCCCAGCAAGGATCATCCAGGCTGCCCCATCCCTGTATTCACAGGGAAACGCTGAAGCAGGAAAGGGCACGCTATCAGAACGCCCATATTTAAAAAGAGAAAGAGGAAGACCCTGATGCTGCGAGCGAAGGGCCAGAGTCCCAGTGCCACCGACAGCATCCCAAATGCTCAGAGTACATCGCATACACAGGGAGAGAACACGGCTTTGGCAGAAATCTTAGAGGAGGCGGCTGCGTCAAGAACACAAAGCTTCGTTTCCTAGAGGAGCTAGAAAACATTGGTAATTGGCTGAATTAAAAATAATAATGCATCAACAGATAGATGGCTTATTTTATTATACAACAAAAGCAGCCAAGTTTAAAAGCCGTATTAAAAAGCATGCAAGAACTATATGCAAACAGGATAACAAGCCTTCTGTTTAAAAGCTGAATCGAACTAAACCCAGGCGCCTGTCTCCGATGAAGGAAAGCTCATGAGCAAGAAATAATAGAAACACAACCCAGCTGCTTGTCCCCATCCCCCGATGCGCAGGAGGTATACTGCCTCTAAATATGGAGGTTCTGTTAAAGGCTCAACACAGAGAGATTGTTATCGCAAACGCCTGCAGCGTGCCCCAGAAGAGCCAGGCCTGTAATTCAGGGCGGTATGCCCCCTTGCAGGACCAGCCCGGGATCCCGGCCCTGTGCGAGACACCTGCTCCGAGGCGTCTCGCGCATCCACCCAGCCACCTAAGGGCTTCCTGGATGCCAGCAGCCAAGCTGCCAGGCGCCAGTGAGGATGCTTTCACAGCGACTCCTTAATAAAGGGATGGGAGCAGAACGCCAGCCAAGCCGAGCAGGCTCGTCTCACCTGTCAGGAGGAGCTGGCAATGCCCGGGGAGGGCCATGCACGGGCAAACGTGTCCCCCTCACTGCAGTCCCTTGCAGGGGCACCGGCATTTGCCCCGCTGGCGGCCTCAGAACCCGGAAGACTCATTTATTTGTTCCTCACAGTCCTTAGCACTGGATGCCAGAAGGAACACGTGCCTTTGCTGGGAAGTTAAGCGGGGAGGGGGGAAGAAGCGCAGGGCAGGGGGCTCTGACAATGGCCTGGATGGGCGACATCGGTGCCCTTGGGCAAAACACCCTCGGTGGCCCCCTCCCTCGGTGAGGTCCCCTCCCCGCGCCACGGTCATCGGCTCCTCTGCTTCAACAGGGCGACTGCTTGCCTGCTTGCTCGGCACGGAGAGATCCGGTGAGCAAGCAGAGCAGGTCCTGCTGCACCTTCCCAGCACCGCCACCCGAATCTGGGCCAGAGCAAGAGCGAAGAGGGCCCACTGGCCAAGAGCAGCCCCCGCCAGGCTGTGCGCCCTCGGCAGGAACCCTGGCACGCCTGCCTTTGACCTGGGCCACAAGGATCAGTTTAGGAAGTAATCCTGTTGCAGCCGCTCCACAAATCGATCGGTTGCAGCTTCAGGGGGGAGCAACATCCATACGCAAACCAGCTGGGAAGCCCCTCCCATCCCGCCCCACCCTTATCACACAGCATGTGTGTCTACCTCACAGGGTTGCTGTGGGGATAAGAGCAGCAGGTGGCGAATGATGCACGCTGCTTTGAGCTCACTGGGAGGAAAAGCGAGATACAAGTCTAATAAATAAATAAACAAACAAACAAAGCTTGCCACCCAAAAGCTACCAATACAGCCAGAGAATGTGTTAGAAGACATAAAATGAACCACGTTTTGCAAATCTGACCGTGGTCACTTGAAGGGGCAACCAAGAGTCTCATGCCTGGAAGGCCAGCAGAGGCCTTCCTTTGGAAATTGTCCTGGAGGGGTGCTACGAGGCTCTCAGCTGTGGTTGCTGCCACAGGGCTGCATGGCCACCTCTCTGGAAAATGGTGGGGAGTCAGTATAGTTACTTCCTTGCTGGAAGGAACACACTTCTCCAAAGAGCAGGTGCCCAGGATCTCAGGTAGCGAAGCTTGCACTCTCCAAACCGTGGGGACTCCAGGAACTGCACTTGGGACCTGAATGCACCCCGGGCCCCTTCCCTAAATCAACCGGCACTGCCAAAAGAAATAGCCAGGTATGAGAACACGGGCGTGCGTCACACCACACAACTACCCACTCTGGGCCGCACAATTGTTCCTCCTCCAGACAGAGAGAAATGAACAACCCGGGATGCTCCGTCGTCGCTGGGTTGTTGATTGTGGCATCCAAACCCAGAGCCAGACCCAGGGCTGCTGGGGAAGAGAAGGGCCAGAGTGGCCTAGCTGCACATGGAGACTTTGGCAGCTACTAAATGACACCGAGATGCCTCATTCCCCGTCCCCGACTGGGATGGGAACCCTCCCATAATCCAACGCTGCTCTCCAAATGCGACAGACTCCGTGCCCAGAACCATCTACAGGAGAATAAGCAAAGCATAAAGAAAACAGTCACGAGTGGATGGGGAGAGCAGAAAAGGGGGAGTTTAAACCCTGGGAAAGGCTGCGTCTCTTCTCCGCTCTGAACTAGGTCTCGCCGACTGGCTTGCTGTCAGGTTCCAGTTAGCAGGAGCATTTCGAGAACGCCAGGCTGCCTGAAAGGAGCACTCCAGCCGACAGCCGCTGCCCACAGATGCGGATCTCTTCCGACGGGCAGGCCATGAATAAGTAAACAGAGGAGAGCGCGCCGTTCGCAGGCACTCTGCCCCTGGAGGCTGAGGCGCACTCAAACGACTCGCGCACTCAAACGACTCGCGCAGACCAGGCAGTTAGGAGACACACGCACAGAGGGAACTCTTCGCACCAGCCGTCGGGCTCTCTGGGTTACAACAGCAAATCAGGCGACACTCCATTTAATGCACACCCCTGCGCCCATTTTGTTCACCATGTGCACTGGCTAAATGGCGAAAATGGATGCTTCCCCCAGGAACCCTAATGCTGTCACCACAGAAAGGGAGAGAGGAGGAGAGGAAACAGGAGTACACGCATACTCTCTTAGGGTAGTGAAACTAAGTCCCAAAAACTAGACATTTGCACCAAGAGTGGCTCTTGTAAAAAGCTGCCTTTTGCTAAGAGAACAAGGGGTACCAGAAGGAATGTACATCTCATCTTTTTTGCATCATCGTTCAGCTTCTGCAAGAAACAGTGGAGGGCAAACAATTGTGCCAAGCTCCAAAAACCTCACCGTGTAATTTCCGGCTGTTCCCACTCAGTTACCTGCGACGTCTCAGATTCCACCAGAAACTGGGTGCGCATTTTCAAGCTTATTGCCACAGCCGTAAGATAAGCCACTTCAGCACAACGCTGGGCCCAGCAAACGGCACCAACTTCCGGGATATGGTCATTCTGGCTTATTCCCTTTGCCTCCTTTTGTCTTGACAGACAGGTCCCTCCAACCCTCAACTAACTACCCCAGATAATTAATCAACGCAATGATTGAGCTTCTGGCAGAATCGCCATAGTCTGGAGCTATTCCAGCGGAGGAGGCCAGGCTGCATCACATTAATAAAAAAAGGACTTCATATTTACATGCTCAAAGCACTTCGCATGCATTATTATCTCTGTAATCCTTGTAATGCGCTTGTCGATAATACTGACCCGTCCTCTACATATCGCCACGGGTGGCTGGGGATGGATTGTGGGGGACACCAAGGCAAAAGGAAAGCAGCTTTCCTAAAGTTAGCCAGAAAGTTCAGACCGGGGCTGAGATTTTGGACGGAGGTCTTCCAGATCGTAACTGTCACGCTGTGCGAACACTCCCTAGCTGAGATGCATCCCATAGTACATTTAAAAAGAGATGCATCTGAAATGCTTAATGCTTCCCAATAATGACCTGGGTCATGCACAAGGCTAATTTAGAGTGCATTTAACTCATGCTGCCTTACCCAAGATTTGCTTGGTAGGTGATCAAACCGCCAAGATTTGCTTGGTAGGTGATC